AGCGGCTTTCTGCCAGCATCCTGCCAAAAATGTACGTGCCACGGAATTTATATATTGCCGTGGCCGCGGGGCAGCTGGGCAGAGATCCGGAGGCTAGCGGCGGGACGTGCCTGGTGGGTTTAGGTGCTGAAATAGGATGGTGCTTACCTGCGTCCCTGCCGAGCCCTCTGCCACCCCTGGGGCTGGTGCCCACACCGTGCCCCCCGGGTTACCCTGCCTGGGACGCCCCGGTAGCCCCGGTGCCCTCCTGGCAGGACCCGCCATCGCGGGTGACACCACGCTGCTGGCTGAAACGGGCACATCTGCTCCAGGGGTGTGACATCTTCTTCAACCTCTGGACCTTTCTACAGCGTGTCCCAGGGAGCTTCCTTGGTGCCTCTGACCCTCTCCTTGCTCTCCGTCTCCTGGCTTTGGTGATGCTGCGTTGAGTTACAGCTTCTGTGCCTGTGAATCTCTCGGCTGTTTGCTCGGAGAGCGGTCCTTGCGACGGGCATCCGCAGGAATAAAGTCCTAACCTGCTACAGGGAATCGCAGCCCCTTGCTCATGGGGTTGGGATGATGCCAGGACACTTGGCCTGCCGTAGCTGTTGAAGTCCACGGGGCGAAGACTCTAATTTCAATATCAAACATATCCATATAAAACAAACCATATTTTATTGCCCTAAGAGGGAAGCATGGGCTGTGAGAATCCGTAACGACAGTGGGACGGTGGCAAAGGCCTCCAAAGGCAATGGATGCCCACCTCGCTGCCCGCCTTCCTGCTGCCGCGGGGCATCGGCAGGAAAACCACTGGCTTGCACGTGGCCCGAGCCCTTTTCAAAGGGATATGTGTGTGCTGCTGCGAGGCCAGACGGGCAGGGGCAACGGGGCCGGTGGGGGAACTGGGGCACCGGGATGGAGCGAGGCAGAAACTCAACGGAGCATCATGACACGGGCAGGGCAAGGTGGCATTCGACCCCTTCTGATCTCCCGATAAGGAGTCTCCGTTTTGATTCTGTCTTTAAAAAGAAACAACAACTTTTCCTTATTTTTGTCTATATGTGGATCACTCCCACCGCTGAAGCTCATTTCCTGCTGTTGGGTACATTGAAGCTCTTACTGAGTATTTATTTTTCCATGGGCCTCTCTGTTTCTTTACGCTGTTATATGAATAACGTTGAGTCTGTGTCTCCTTTAATACTTGCCACATGCCAGGTCTACTGTATACGTTAGTACCCCAACACATTTTTCAGGTATTTCCTGCTATTATTTACCTCTTCATTTCTGATCGTGCTACTTTTGGGTATATGATAAAGCTGTTTTCTGATGGGGCTATAGGCCAGAAGGGCAAGTGGACAGAAAAAACATATGGGTACACAAGGCTGCTTAGAAGTAACTTTTTCTAGTGGTGGTTACAATTGGTGAAATCCTGTGGGTTTTGTCCTTTTTTTTAAATGGAAGTCAGTGAGAGTTTTGCTGCAGTAAAGACAATAGAGACTGATGGTGCAGAAATATAATCTCTGTGTATGCTCACACATCAATAGACTATGTGGTTCCGCTCCTGCTGCTCTGGCAACAGCCACATAGCTCTTGCGCTTATAAATCGTTGTTTCTTTTTGTTTTATTTGCTAGACCTTGAAATTGTCCACGTGTGGGAGGTCTGCTCATAAACTGAGTGCAGCAAAAACACTTTTTGAGAAATGAAGGGGAGAAACATTTATTGAAAAAAGGGGAGAATATATATATTTTTTTTATATACATATATATATACACACATAATTTGGGCTATATTAAAGCCTTGTAAGAGTTACCAGGCCAGTGCCCTCCTGAGTCCTGAGCTGGCAGGCGCTGGCCCTGGCCCAGGGCAAAGCAGTGGTCCCGACGTGCTCGCTCCTGCTGGCTTTTACGCTTATCCCTTCTGGAAATCCTAAAGCACCCTGAGCATCATCTGAGACCTGAGCACATTACCGAGGAGCCACGTGGATCGAACTGGGCAGCAGCCCTGGTCACCTGCAAAGTTTTCAGGCTGCAGGTGTGTTATTTTTCCCAGCAGCTTCATCGCTTGGCTGACGCAGGAGCGCACGTCTCCGCAGCTCAGAGGAGAGCCCGTCCCTCCCTCGAGCAGGGCTTCTCTGGGCTCTTGTCCAGCACTAAATACAGAAAATTCCAACAGTCAATCCTGTCCGTTTTCAAGCTGCTTGGGATCCTTTAACTTTCAAAACAAACATGAATGAAACTGGTTATTTTACAGCAGATTCTAGTTGGAAAAACCCAGCTGGCATGCCAGGTCCCCCAGTGAAGGTACCTGGCAGCTCCAGGCGCAGCAGAGCTGCCATCTCAATGAGTTAGACCCTGCCAAAGATCAGAGAAACACTGACCTGTGGCTTTTAAAAAAGCTTGCTTCAATTCTAATCTGGGCAATTTGTATTAATTACCGTATGTGACCAGTAACAGGCTGTTTCCTGCCTGCCACCGGCACTACACCTGGCCTCTTCAGCTGTGAAACACATGAACTATGAAAGAATCACCATTTCTCTGAAGGCTCGTCTGAGGTTGGCTTCTCGTCTGTGTACTCCAGCTATTTTTCTCCACGACACTTCAACAATCAACAATTGTCCCGTAAACACTCCATTCAAATTTAACCCCTCCTCTTTGTGGTTTCCGCACGTAACACACATATACACACCTTGACTGATCCCGCTGACCTGATAAAGCTCGTAACTGCACGAGAGCAGCCCGCACGCTCCGAGGAGCAGAGCTGGACCGGAGGCTTGGGCAGCAACGCAGGGATAAAACAATAATGCCTGGCTGCTGCCTAAAGTGGAAGGAAAATTTTCCTCAATATATTAAAAAGTGCTCTAGAGCTGCAGTTATTGTTATCAGAGACTTGGAATTCTATTTTTTCCAAGTTTACCATGTTTTCAAGCACCAGTGGAAGGAATTCCTAGGCTCCATCCTCACTGCAGCGAAGCTCCACGAGTAATACAACCCACGTGAGGACTCTGGCAGTTTTCCTCCAAACCCAGCCATGTACTAAGTTGCTTTGCTTGAAATCCCAGGCCTTGTTTTCCCATCTTCTGACTAATGACAATCTGTATCTGCTAGGCCATATAACCACACATGTAGCTGACAGCCTGCTTTAAAAGGAACGACAACAAGGCAGCATGATCCTATTAGCTCCGATTGTGTTTGTGCTTGTTCCATTTATCAGAACAGTTTTGTTGTGTCAGTCTAGCGTAAAGGATGTACCATCACATAAAAGCGAAACTCTGAAAAAAAAACAGGCGGGGATGTATTTTGAAACATAACTGTTAGTCATGCCCTTTGCTTAACTTAGCACAGCAAAGAAAACAGACCAGAGGTTTTCAAATATTTGCGGCTTTACTGTGAAAAACAATGTCACTTGTTCAACACAGTATTAACTACCAACACCATAACTACTTTAAGAAAGCATTAGCAACCTTTTGGATTTCCAGAAAAGGAAGAATCCAGCCACCTTTAATTGTTGCTTCAAAACTGCCCAATTTTTCTCAAACAAGAAATTCCAAGGCAGCACTCTGGCATTATCCAGTGCCCTAGATCAGGGCGCAGGACTTCAGGCGTTTTAAGTTATTTCCACTGAAGTATATAAAGCGTGAGCTAGGAAATAGTCCTTAGCCTCACAGCCAGTTACATGTGCTGCTCCCCTCCTTTTGCTAGTTCTGAAACAGCAGAACGAAACAAATCCAAGATCACGCAAGTAGCTGCTATCCCACTGCTGCTTCCTCCAACCTCCCTGGGCCACACTTCAGGCGCTGCTGCTCAAGCAAACTGGAAGATGACCGAGGAGACCCCAAGGCTGCTGACAACATTCATCTCCCCTTCTCTTCATTTAGACTTAGGTTGCACAAGTGGGTGTCACACGAGTGTTAATGCATTGCTTTGTGTTTGGCAACTCTCTCAGTAGCCTCTCTCAGAGGTTTGCCAGCAAAAATAATGCTGAAACAATAAAAAAAAAATATCAGTGGAAAATTAAACAATTTAGTAGGCACACTTCAGCCTAAATGAGGTTTGTTCAAGCACAACGTTCAACATCAGAGCCTACATGCATCCCTGGTTTATGGTATTAACAAATATGGCATTACTAATTCCAAAATTCACCACTGCACTGGCACCCCAGAGTAAATACTCTAATTGATCACATGCAGAGTGTACTACCAGTCAGATAGAACACAGTACTGAAAGGCATATGCATGCAATAGCTACGGCAACCGCAGGCTCACAAATACCACTTTTTCAGAGAAAACTAATGAAACCTCTCTTGATATTACATGAACAAAAGAACTAGTTTATAGGATCTGGAGTGATTTGCATTTCAATTAAGAATGTGCCACTCATACTAAAGAAATACTTTAAAAAAATAATCCCAGAAGTCAAATACAAGAACTATGAACTACACCGTCATAGGAGTAGAAACATCTGTATGGATTTAGCAGGATTCACTCACTGTCATCACTGAAGCATATCTCACTGCTTCCTTTAAGTTGTTTCAGCTAGATCCTGGCAATGAGTTTCTTCTCTGTCTCCTTACTTGTCAATCTAATATAAACCTAGCTAACAAACCGGTTTGTTACACTCCAGTTTGACTTGTGGTTATGCACAGGAATACAACAACCAATTAACAGTTCAGATAAATCACACAGAAATAAAATCTCTTTTAAAATATATAAGCCTGGTTTTTAACTAAAATAATTCAAACCAAACTTTTATTAGGTATTGTATCATTAGCTCCACATAAATCATCAGAAGGAGCTGGTACTTTTAGTCCAAAAAGCTCTAGCATTATTTGTAAAAATGAAATTAAACACTGAGGTAACTGCCCTACACAGGTACTGGGCTCAGTTCTTCTCTACTTGGGAGTTTCACTGATGCCATGCTGAACAGCTCCGATTGCCGGCAATGGAAGGAAAACTGCAAATCAAATGATTCCCCATGATGGTTTTTAATCAGAATTTAAGAAAAAGGCTAAAAAACTAACCACGCTCTGTCAAACAGGGTACAAAATCTTTATTCACCAATAAGTTAAGTGTTCTTATAAATAGATGTTTTAGTCTTTTGTACACTGTATTGAGTATAAAGCTAAGCTTCAATTATTCCTCAGACTCTGATCCTTCTTCATCTTGACTGATTTGGAAGTAGCGCAGTTCGTATGTCTCCTTGTCAGATGCAACGACACGAAGCCAGTCACGCAGATTGTTCTTCTTGAGGTACTTCTTTGTGAGGTATTTTAGGTACCTTGGGAGCAGTAATTATACATTAGAACCTTCTCATTTAACAACCCATACTGCACCCGTACTGCTGTCTGCACTCCACCCAAGATGTGGCCCTAGCAGGGCCACAACACACTAACCAGTGCGCTCATCTGCTGCACGCCCCAACGCACTACACTGTTTAAGGCTTCATTTGACTTAAGGGGTACTTTTGCAACAACATGTATTGCATACGCATACATTTTAATACAACCAATTAAGCAATAAAACAGCCGCCCGTAACGTGAGGTCAGTATGACTTTTAAAAGCATCGCTTTCCTTGATATACTTCTAACAACCTAGATAAAGCTGTATTACTATGTTCATATTAGAGGAAGCGTTAATTTGCAATCAAGTCCTGTGTTCTAAAAAGCAGTTTTTTAAATATCTAAGTTTGAACGACATCTTTACTAATATTTGTAAGTGTTATGAAGGTCAGCGCTAACACCTCTCTCTATGTATCAGAAGTGCAGCACGTTCAACAAAGGACTGTTCAAAATCCACTATCCCAAGTACAACAAAAGGAAACCTACGCCAACCTTTTAGAAAATTGCTTCTCAGATGTCACTGTGATCTTGTTCTTCAGACGTTCAATGTGAACGGTGTTACCCAAGTTTCCAGTTTTTCCATTGACCTTAACCTTCTCCTTTAGGAACTGTTCCTGTTTCGACATTAAAGAAATAGAACACTAGGGAATGGCACCCTAGGTATGAACTAGGGAAGGGACCCTAGTCATATGGCAATATTAAAAATCACTGCTTACTTATATCCTGATAGCAAGTATTTACAATATAGTAAGATTTTACGGCTTGTAATTAAAAAAAGCACCCCCACGCTAGAACAGGAATCAACTTAAAATAGATCTACTCATGGATAGGTATGAACCATCTTGACTATAAAAGACATCTAAACCCAAACGACTTTCAAAAAGTGCTGTTAATTTAAAGACCAGCTATTAATTTTACTAGTTTAAAATGTAACTTTTCAGTTGTCATACTGTGCTAATGCAGTTATCATAGTGTGCAAACTGAGCAAAACCACGACTTACAAAATTCCCAGAATCAAAAATTCCATCTTCCACCGGATGGGTCAAGTCAAGGCAAAACTTCCAGGTTGACTTTTTAGATTTTCTGTCCTTTTGCTAAAATACAAAAAACCCGCGACATTAACAACCCACACCC